ATAAATTACCTGTATAGTTCGTATGAATGAGACAGACACTCTCTCCTCAAACTCATTAACTGGAGTGTAGAGGTTCAGGACCTTCACAATCTGAAAGAAAAGTAAGACAACTAAGTTTCCAAACATCAAACACATGAACCTTGAGGTTCTTACTAACATGCAGTGATTGAAAAGATTAACATGATTTGAAACATGAATGTGCTGCAGTAAGGTTCAGGGTGTTGTACCTGAGCAGTTGTGAGGCCCTGACACATGGAGCAGATGGCTTCAGCATCCTCGTCCGTCTTCTTCTTAACCTGCAGCAGCTGAGCAGCCTGGATCAGAGGCTCCAGAGTCTCCTTGGCTCCGCACATCATCAGACCTTTGTCTCTGAGCCACTCCTCCAACTGGCTCACATTGTACCTATACACATAAACACACACAACCCGATCAGTGAAATGGTCAGAGAAAAACACTGTGGTCTGCACGTCTCTGAGCAGCAGCTCCTACCTGATCTGCATGCCTTTGCTCCAGGAGCACATGTCCTTGCGTAGCAGCAGGTTGTTAAGGGTGACTGCTCCGATGATGTAGAACTGCTGCTTCACCACCTGCTTGATCAGCTCGGGATCGGTGCCATGCTGACACATGGTGGAGTGGAAGGCGCTGAGCTGCCGCAGGATGGAGTCCAGGGTGTAGGTGCCCTCATCTGCAATACTCGACGTCCGCTTCCGGAGACCTGTGGGCTTCACCCCCGAAACGCCCTGGATGGTCTCGTGTTCCAGCATACCAGAGACTGCAAGGAACACACACACAAAGATTAAGTACTTGTATCATGTAAGTACTCAAAAAGAGCAGTGTTTGTGTTCTCTACTGTCAATACCACAGTAACATTAGATTGTCTAAACACACACTGAAACAGACCTATCATGGGCTGGAGGATGTTCTCCATGCATTTGATCAGCTGCTGATAGATCTGGATGGCCAGATCACTGATCACCTGTCTGTACTCCGCCAGGTCGAAGTTGGACAGACAGTGTTCATTTTGCCTCGACGTGTTGTGTTTCATGAAGGCCTGTGAGACAGAGACACCAGCAGGGTCGTCAACCAGGGTATTTATTGACAATAATTATGCCTCACATCAAAACAATCAATGTCTCATTTGTAAGATATTTCAAAACAATAATCTGTAGACGTTCTCACCTCATCTCCACTGTATTGTTTCAGACAGTGCAGAAAGCGACAGGTGTTGGACAACCAGAAGGAGACCGTCTCAAAGTCATCTCCTCGTTTCTGACAGGAAGAGGAAGGAGACAGTCGTCAGTGACCCTACTGCTGATCACATGACTGTAACTCAACCAGACCTCTGCAACTCAAAACATCCTGCATCATCATCATCATTATGATCATCATCCTGCATCATCATCATCTTAACCCTGCATCATCATCATCATCATCATAATCACCATCATCATCATCATCATGATCACCATCATCATCATCAATTATCAGTTTATTTCTAACCTTAACAATGTCCAACTCATGATTAACCCCCACCCCTGCCTAATCACAGTTCCCATCGTACACCTCACTTTAACTCAGAAATGAGGATTTGCCTCATAAGTACCAGGCATTGGTCCCCATGAGGTCTACTGGTCCTGACAAGGTCAATGTTTATGCTGGAACAGGTCCCATAGTGATTACAAAAACAAGCACATGCCTGCACGCACGCGCACGCACTACCTTGAGTATCTTCTTTATACTGTTGATGGTTGACGTGAGCAGAGTGCGGACCTTCTGGTCATCATTCACATAGTCAGCATGTCTCAGACACATGAACAGGACGTAGGCGGGCAGACCTGGGATCAGATTCACAGCCACACCACGAGGCTTCAGTTCTGAAGAGACAGAGGAGAATAAGAGATTACTCACAATATTGAATTTGTTTTTAAATTTCAGTCTTGATAAACTCAGTCTAACCCTCATATTTTTGGAGAAAAGCTGGTGTAAAAAAATTTCATTTTTCACTGAATTATCCCTTTAACAACCAAAACAATTGCAGTCTTAATGATGTGTGAACCTAAATCCGTGAGATAAACCACACAAGCTTTTGTGTAGTTAAAGCTTTTTTACTTTTATTAATTTAATTTAACTTCTACTAACTAAATCTCTTTTCCTATCCTGCTTTCTTACCCAGGATGAGGTTCTTGACCAGTTTCAGCTCATCTTCCTTTTTGTACTCCAGCATCCCCTGGAAGTCTTTCTCCCTGCGAGGGATGTTGACGGGGTGGATCGGCTCGTCCACCATCTGTCCTGGAGACGTCTGGCCCTCAGTTTGACCGGCTGGGAGACATGCAAAGACGAAAGACAGCAGTCAGGTCCTACAACTCAAACACACAAACCCTGTGCTATTGTGGAATGATGCTTTGGCCCGTACCTCCCATCTCTCCAATCCTCTTGGAGTAAACCTTCAGCTGCTTCTTGAGCTTACGGATGGTTCGGTCCTGCTTCTCCAGCTGCTCCATGAGATCCTGAAACAGACAGCATGGAGTGTTGTCATCATGGCATGATGAAGAGAGTGGAGGAATACAAGAAAAAGATAAGAGAAGGAGAGAGAGGGACAAAAAGAATAGTTAGGAGAAATGGCAAGCCTCCTCTGATTCAGATGCTTCTCACTGGGCCCTCTAGTGGTGGAAATGAACACCCCAGCACAAGTAAAGAATGTTTGCTACAGCCACCAAGAACCTAGAGTTGAAATATTGGACATTCTTTTATATGACTGTTGCTGATGCTGATAATTAGGAGTACATTTTTTTTCAAATAAACGATTCTAAACTTCATTATAAATAACTACCAATAAAAAGAAACCAAACCAAAAATACAACAAAATTTATAGAACTTCAATCAAGAAAATAAACATAAGTACATTTGAAATTTAAACGTGTAAATACACATCTTTTCTGCATTGTCTATTCTGTCAGAAAAGTTTTCATATCTGCAAACATGAGCGCAGATACTGATATGTCTGTGAAAGACTTATACTAGTCGACTTTTATCTGGCAACAGATAAATCTGTCGGGCTCTGATATATATATACATTTCAGAGCCTATATATATATACACGTGTATATATATATAAATATACTTATATAAATAAACAGTAATAATTTCTGCATTCTGAGAAAGGAAATGAGACGTGTCCAAAGGAAAAAAGCAAACACAGAGGAGTGTGTAGAGGATTTTAAATCAACTTGAAAGGTGCTGTGCTGATTGTTGTTTTCAGAGGAAGAGAAGCTGCAGGACTCAGTGGCTGTTAGGAAAGAGAAAAACGTGCAGAGCTGCTCCACTGTGAGTTAGAGGACACTGCTGTAGAGTTAGAGCGACGCTCAAGAGATATTTCCCTCAAAACACACAACCTGAGTTAGTTCTAACACATGCAAACACACACACGCTGTCTCTACATACAACCATCCGTCGTAAAATGATGACTCGAGCCTCTCTGGATGCTGTGGGGTCGTCGGCCATGAGTTCCTGTCAGGTGACACCATCCACACAAATGAGTGTGTGTGACCTAGCACTGCACTGGCTGATTAGCTTTATCTGTGTTAAGCATTCAAGTTGCGTGTGACTGTGATGTTGGTGTGATTCTTTGCTGTTGTTCTTGTAACAATAATTCTGCAATATCTGCACAGTGAAGATCCCCAAAATCTTGATGAGATTTGGTGTCGTTAGTTTCAAATCACAGTCCTGACTGACGATGCTACTTAATCTAAATAATATTTGGATCCATCTTACTTTGTTAGTTGAAGACTTTTCACTCTGCTGAATAGCTCATCACAAACAACAACGCAACAAGCATCTGTGCCTTCACTGTAATGCTAAGACAATAAGATTGACCGATTATTATTTTTCAATGAGCCAACCTCTAATAATCAAGATTTGGGAGCCACATCCTTCCAGTATTTTCAAATCCAGGTTTGTAAGCATCTCATCTGATTTCTTACATGAGACACGAGGTCTCACTGTTGCCTCTCTGACATTTAAATTTTAACATAAACACTGTGCTGAGAGTCTTAGTGATGTGATTAAAGTTGAAGTGAATCCTCCTCAGCCTGCGTCTATGTGTGTGTCGCAGCATACCAGGTTCTCGTTGGTGAGCCGGGTGATTTCGTGTTGCAGACTGGCTTCGATTCGGGCCTCCGGAGGCAGTTGGAGGTTCTGGGCCAAGAGCTGCTGCTGACGATTGTTATCCTCCTTGACATTCTGCAGCTCCCCGCGCAACGACTCCACCTCATTATCGTGACTTCTACGCTGAGTCTGCAGCTGGTGCTCCAGTAACCTGGGAGGTGAGTTTTAGGGTGGAGATGAGACCATAGAAGAAGAAAAAGGGAGAGGGAGGAGGAGGCCCGGTGTGCAAAACACAAACCAAGAAATGTGAAGGTAGATGGGAGATGAGGGAAAAGGAGGAGGAAGGTGGTAAGAGAGATGATGTGAGGGAAGATAGGAAGAGGATGAGAAGAGGGAGATTCGGTTTGAGGTAGAGCAGGAATAATTCAGTATGCAGAAAGAAGGGAAGAAAGAAAAGGGAATGATGCACAAGAGAAGAGGAACAAATATTAGCAAACAGTGAAAGAGAAGTGGAGGATGTTACCACAGTGACGCAGGACAGCAGCATGCTGTGCAGACAGTACCAGCAGCCCAGAGCGCAGCCTCTCTGAACACGTTGAACTGATCAGTATAAAACGCAGCGCTGAAGATCTCGTCTCATCACATTTCACTCTACGAGTTTTTAATAAATCTCTGGGTCTTTTTAAAGGTTGTTTCCACTCTATTTGGAGTAAGTGAACTATTAGTGGTAAAACACAACCAATCGGTGGGCAACTCCACTTCTAGCATCCAAAGAAGAGTACAACATTCTGTATTATACAAGTAGTAACACTGCAAACACTGTTTAAAGCAAGCTGCTGGGAATGCTAAGGTACATGACGCTATAACATTTAATAGGCTCCTCTTATAAGTAAGTAAAACAAGAAAACAGGATGAAGACAAATTCCGCAATACTATCTTATAAATTCTGATCAACATCTACAAATCCAAACTATTGTATACAGTTTGGTAGATCTAAGGGAATGGACTTTTTTCATTTTTATTGTGCACAACCTGGTGAAGTCCTATAGAGGTGTGTACAGGGCCAAAAACATTGTTGTCTACCTTGGTGGCCGATTACAATTCATAGTTTTTAATTCATGTAATAATTTATAGTTTTAATACACTCTAAGTCTATGTAGTGTGTTTATAGTCACCAATAAAATAATGGCTGGGAGGATTTTGCTTCTAAATCTGTAAAAAGTCTGGATAAGTCGATAAGACTCTTGATTTACAACGACCAAACACATTTTCCAAAACTGGCCAACTGTGCAGGTTTACAAAATAAAATATTGAAGTGAAGAGAAACAGCAGTTATCAGAAACATGTCATGCTCAAAAGTCACACTTGTGTTTGAAACACAGCAACACCTGATGGTCTCCTTTAAACCCTGATTAACCAGCCACAGCTCTCCGTCCTCATTCAGCTTATGGAAGTCTGGAGCAGCGGATCTGACCGACACACAACACAAAGGAACATGAACAACACAAAGACAAAAATAAAGTGTGGGATGTTTGGGAGAGGGGAGACGATGAAGGAGACGATGTGGACATATGCTCACAACAATATGAGAAGCGTGTGTGTGTGTGTGTGTGTGTGTGCGTGTGTGTGTGTGCGTGTGTGTGTGTACTCCCATCTAAGGTGTAACATTTCTATGAATCTGTTTGTAACAGGAGTTCGTTCTACAATTGATCAATGCATTTTAATAACGTTGATACCAACAGACTGTTTCATTGCATCACTGCATTGTATCACTCCTCTCATTGGTATTTGTAGTCTGGTGTGTATTGCATGTTGTCTAGTGTACACTTAGCTGTACTTTATACCAGTGTGAGTGAGCGAGTTTGTTCATGGTGTCTTGAGATGATGACGACTGAACTCGTGTCAGTGTGTGAAGAAAAAAGGTCACAAGCAACAAAAAGAACATCATGGGAGAAACAGAGGAATAAATGCAGAGATGCTCAGCTCATCCTTTAGGGAAGCTCTGCTGTGTCTGTTAGGGTTGTTTAATATTAAAAAAACTGCAAAATGGATTTCCACTCAACTTTTTCCACTATAAAAGAATCCACAACATTTTGCTGCAGATCTGCAAGAATTTCACTTCCTTTAACAATGTGAAGAACATTTTCACTGATTTCCCAGGAAATAATGCATCCAAGGACGGCTGGGCCTCGTCGGAGATATTCACTCTACTGAGTGCCATTCTAGTTATCAAAGAGTGTTTGTTACTTAGGAATAGATACTGTTCACATTGGTCTAATGGTCTGTTGTTAATTACCTGCTCTAGTTATATCACATGTGTAATATGTGTATTAAATTAAATGCCATAATAATGTGGGTGTGTGGCAGGTGGCTACAGAAGAAAGTGGATGGTGGTTACCAGCGCTGCACATCTCTGCCAAACATAAATAAAGAAAAACTTTACAGTAAGTAAGTTATTTCATGCACTGTTCATGCTAAACTAATTCTATACAGCTGAGACAAGAGGCCTAATACAACTGAATGAGACCTGCTGCACATTCAGTGTGAGGATATCGTTTTGTGCATCAACTGTGTGTTATTACAAGTTAAACTAGAACCGAATCCCTTTCAGCTCAGTTACCTCCATGCTTTCATGCTCAACATTGTACTACTGCACTGTGATTACAGAGTTCTGCCACATTTCCAAAGGCAGATTCAAGCTGCCGAAGCTGGTATCTTTGTTCAGAGGTAAACCAGAAACTATTTTGAGTCTGATCCCTCAGTAAGAGACTCTGCCCTTGTCAACGCCGAACTATGAAAAACCATGCAAACCTGCAAACCTATAAACTTGACTCAAATGTCAAAGACACATTCCTTGACTGCAGTAAAAACCAGTAAACCTTCTATTAAAGCACAAGTACGACTACACTAAACTCTATCCGGAGCTGTTAGACAGTTTTACATGCCGTTAGGGTAGAAAATTCCACGCAAAGCCACCCAAGCTTTCATTAGCACTACATGTAGCATCAGCTGTTTCAGCTTCAGTAATATCAGTCACTTATCAACATTTCTAAACTCAGTTGAGCAACAGCGTGGCCATGCATGCTTTGATCCACGGTGCATAGGCCACGTCTCATCCGTTACCTGAGCCTACTCAGGAGATCATTGACTTCCAGCGGCTTACGCATGAACCTAGGAGATCTGCACAGGACAGAGAGGGGTTCACAAACAGAACACACACATGTATACACGCAACACTCAGACGGACACCATATTTACAGTGAGGCCTGGTAACGGACAAAACAAAAGTAAAAAGGAGTCAGAGGTCTACTGGCTGTAATAAAATACCTGTTGGTGTCTTTTAGGCCTACGTAAGCTTGCTTGATTTCATCAGCATCTTTCAGCTTAGACACGTCCTCGACATAGACAGACGGCTCTGTCATGGTCTCCTGGAACAAAGATGAGAGAGAAGGCAGAGGAGACATTAGTAGAAGTTGTGACAAGGAAAGAGGAATAAACACAAGAGCATAACACCACATTTACAGAGAAACAATGTTGCTACCGCTTCTTGTGAAGCTGCATCATGAACCATCACCAGTCATCATCCTCATCACTGCAGGGACTTTCATACAGGTTAGGTGCATGAATAAATGACTGAGGGAGTCAGTATATCGCTGTGAGCAGTCAGCATGTGTTGTGAACGACTCCCTGCCAGCTTCAGTGTAGCTGCTGGCTACAAGTGTCCTTTCACTCTGACAGTCATGAGCCAGTCAGAGCCTCGGGCTGATACACTGAGGGGAGCATCACAGCAGCCCCTCTTCTGTCTATTTTCAGGACACAGCTTGTGGAGCAGAGCATCAGGGAATAACTTACATGTGCTAATAGGTTTACGTTACAGTGCATGTAACAGCTGTTTGACAGTTTGAAATAAAGTCAAGGTCAAATGTTCACATTTTCTTCACATGATGGGATGTCGTTTAAAATGACTGTCATGTGCAAGTAGAAAATCTTTGAGAGCTTTCATTTTGTGGCAACATCCATCTCTGTATCGAGGACTAAACTACCAAAATTAAAATAAAGAAATAGGTAAATGTAGAAATACATAAATATAGGAATCAATATGTTGAAAAAAACATATGAAAAAATACAGAAATCAATATATGAAAAAATACAGTAAGAAATGATTTTAGAAATTAATAAAAAATAAATGTACAAATATGTACTAATATATCAACAAATAGATGAGTTATTAAATGTAGAAATGCTGAATTAAGTAATTGTAGAAATAACTAAATAAATGTAGAGATACAAATATATTGGAATAAAGAAATTAATAATAATGATTTCTGCATTTATTGAATTATTATATATTATTGAGTTGTTTATTTGTGACTTTATTCTTTTTTAACTGTGGCAGTTTCAGTCCTCGATATTCACCATATGTACTACAGGCTGTGTTTACAAAAACAGATGCACAATGGCTTCTGTAAAATAGCCAGTGAACAAAACCAACTGGTCCACAAATGCATTAAAGGGACAAAGGACGAGACAGTGAAGACAATCAACCTCCAGCCGGGAGACGACACAGTCGGCATGTAACTGCTGATCTTGTGTCAGAGCAACTGATTAATCTGTTTTTGCAAATTATTAAAAATGGTAATTCCAATGATTTCATTATGGGGTTTTAAACATTATCATGTGTTCAGATGTAATTCTTCTTTTAATTCTTTGTGACAGAGGGAGAGGAGAATGATGATTTTTTCATTCTACCTTAAGGATAAAATTAATTCATGTTTTTCTATTTCATGAAACTGACATTTAATTATGAACTTTACAGGTTAAGTTGTGGAATCGGTGTCTTCTGCTAAATTCTTATACTTAAGCTAGAACCCACCAGCAACTTTAGTATGTTTGCCAATGAAAAATTTGAATATCCACAACTAAAGAATCTTTTTTTTTTTCAAACCAATTCAATATTCCTGGCAGTGGTGGTCGGAGTTGCATTTGTTGCCAAAAGAATCATGATCAATCTATACATTGATCGTTTAGGTCATATCTCTACTTTGCTTTCTTGCCAAAGGAGGATTTATAAACATACACACACGATGGGAAAGTGTCAGGCATTCATGCATGATGCAGTTTGTCAACTCTACCTTCTCATCCTGTGGGAAAGCATGGATGGAGGAGAGAAGGTGGAGACAGGTGAGTTAGACACACTGAGGATACAGTGAAAATATTTGCAACACACAATTTAAATGTGATTTCGCCAAATTAAAGATTCAAATGTCAAAACAGGCTTTGTTTGTCATTTGCCTCAATGAAGTTAGGAAGTCTCCCTGGACAACATGAACACAACATAACAGTTTTTTTAAAATGTCAAAATGTAATAAAACTGATCTTTAGTCCATGAAAGTTTTCAGACTCATTTTTCTTTATGACTTTTTTTGGATACAGACAAACAGAGAAGCAGACTGAGGTGAAAACAAGCACGGGTGTAAACAAACAGCATGCATCCACCAACATCTACTGTAAACACACTGTTGTGACTGCTTGTGCAAAAACAGCGGCACCATGTAACATAAGAAGAACTTAAATGTTTAGTTACATGTGGATGATTACAGGCTGAACACTAACATATGATAGGAAAAAGAAAATCAAATGCTGCACTTACCTTGTGGTGCATGGCCTCCTTCTGGCTGACCAGCTGCGAGCGAAGGATCAGAACCTCCTCCTTTCGGACATCCAGCTCCTCGCAGGAGGAGTTGAGCTGATCCAGCAGCACCTTGTAAGCAGGGGAGCCCGGGGCCCCGGCGTGTGTAGCAGCATCACCCAGCAGGCTTTGCCTCATCTCAGCAAGATTATGTTTAAGCTTCTTGTTCTCTGACTCCAGCTCCTGACGCTGAGCGGTGAAAAGACTCAGGGTTACAGTCGTAATAGGAAGTGGGAAAATAAGGCATTCTGAACTTGCCCGACTTTGGATTAAGCCGCTAGCTGATATCAATGTAGATCAGTTGAACAGTGTGTTATTGTTGGTGCATTTCTACTTCTACTACTTACCTTGAGGGACTCGTACTCCAGCTCTGCCCCTCGAGCCTTTTTAAACGCTACATCATCCTGAAACACAGAAAAAACCATGGGGATGAGTAAACCTGTTGAATCATATCCTGAATATAAAAAATGTGACTTTAACTCAATTACATCTGAAAAATTACTCCTTTTTCCGATTTGATAACCTATTGATGAACTAGTTACACACTAAAAACATGACAATCCCAATATTTATAATACACGTTATTATATATTAACAATTTGCTACACTGCATGTTTACAATCCTTTACAAGGGGTTCACACACTAGAACGAAGCACATGACGCTGACAGCTATATCATTTGTTGGTAAAGTGATATATATCAGAGCTCTGTACCCTCGCTCTAGCCCGCTGGAACTGCTCCTCTTTGTTTTCCAGTTCGTTGCGCAGTGACTGCTTTTCTTGCTCCAGTTCTGTGAGACGTTTCTGCAGCTTGAGTGTCAGTGAGGTATCTATTCCTCGTGTCACGTCCTGTATGACAAGGAAACATCAGGAGAACATTTTTCAGTAAAAAGTTTATAAAACGCCAAAGATCTGGTCCAAGTGTGATTTGCACTGTTTCACTTTAATTTCAGAAACCATTTTGTCACAGTAGAAACCATGTCTCTGTATTTTCAAATATGACTGTATTTAATTCCAACACTTACTTCGGCGGCACGGGAACCTTCTTCCAATTCGGCGTACTCTGAGTTGTAGGTGTACTCTGATTCGTTGCTGCTGTGGGTGGAATCTGTTCTCCTGTGGCCAGGCTTGGAAACGTTCTTCAGATTACAGAGATAATCAACAATTTAGATCATTTAGAAAGAGTAAATAAACTATCCAGTTCCCTCTGCTGCATGAAACATTACCATCTATCTGCTACTGACATTATGCAAATGAATGACATAACGGGACACACACATTCAGAACATTTGCTGTGTCAGTGTTTTATCTATTTCAGACCCAGACTGTATTGTACCGGGGGAAAATTTGTTGTCACTGTTATTTCAGTTCTATCAACACAAAAGGAAACATTTCAGCAGAGGCAACCTGCCATCACATGCTACGTATAACATTTACAAACAAGACCCTCACTGTGGCCCTTTATTTAGTGCTGCAATGGCAGAGGGTACGAAGCTCCAACTAAATCGGGCCTTTTCCATTTAAGTGCAGAATAGCATGAAAGGTGTACAACTATGAGTGAGTGTGCACATGAATAAGGTAAACCTCTCGTATATAATGACTGGCTGTGTGAGGGTGCGTCTCTTACCGAGGCCAGAGTTCTCTCCTTCAGGTCGTCGTATTTCTCCTCGAGGCGAAGGTGTTCTGTCAGGAGATTCTGGTAGCGAGATCGCTCCTCGTTCAGGTCCGTCTCCAGCTGCTGAGTCTCCTCTGCTATCGCACGAGCCATTTTCTCTGATGAGACAGAAGAAGAAGAAGAAGAAGAAGAAGCAGTTTTAATTGTTCAAATGTTTCTTTATGACACATGATGGTCTGTATGATTTATGCGGTGATGTGATACCTGTCATCTGCTGACTCTGTTCCTGAATCGACCTGTTCAAGTCGTCCTTCTCTTTCTTCAGCAAACCATTCTGATCCTTCAGCTCCGAGACCATCTAAACACAAACGATCCTTGAATCAGGTCTTGTGTAAAACTCATGACAGTATTGAACATGAAATCATCTCATACATCCATTCTAGACCTACTGTATGATCTTCTTATTTCCCACATCTATCATCCAACACATTACTGCATCACAAGTGCTTTTTATCAAGAAAAGCCTCCTGGGACATATGACGTACACTGACAAAGTCATTCCTGCAGATCTGAGTCCTGACACGCTCCAGCAGAGTACTTTTGAGCTTTGACCTCCATGTGGAGGCACACAAGAGAAAATAATGATTTAAGTCCCACTGCAGCAGCTTATCAGACCCCTAAGACTCTTTTCTTCAAAATTACACATTCAACGGGTTTATCATGAAAACATTACCCTTATGACCTTAACATGGCTTAAATGTAACCCCACCTTCCCTCCTCATGTCGTTACTGGGATATATTGTAATAGGGTCCAGCACCTGCTCCTAGTCCACCCACAAGTTGACAGAATTGGTTTCTTAGGTTTGTGACATCACAAACTCTGGCAGTTTTAATCCTTTTTTACAGACTGACATTTGTTTACTGCAGTGTTGTAGTAGAAATACTACACCCAAAATATGTTTGAAGTTAACGTGTCCCCCTTGTGCCTTTTATCTGAGATGTTTAAAAACTTGTTTTCAGCAGCGAGGGACTTTAATTAAATAAACACAACCAAAGCATGAGTGATAGAGAATATACTTTGGTAGTGGGACAAATCAGTGCATCACTTTTAACCTTTGCATTTGATAGAACAGCACCTTTCTTCTGGTTTTGAAAAGGCTGTCATGACGTTTCTTTGAAGAACTTTATTTTAGACATCGTAGCTCATACAGATCAGGATACAAACATAAAATCATCAAAGTGCACAACTTTGATGATTTGAGCTCTATTTATCACTATGCCGATGGAGGGGTGAGTGAAGTGTTTTTGTGAGTCCACAAAACACTTTCTGAGTTTCAGGGTTAAACAATGTTGAAGCATAATCCAATTCACCCGCCCCCCCATCAGCGTAGTGGTGAAATATTATTTTTTGGTGAAATAATCCCTTTAAGAAAAACAAAGTCCACACACAGTTCAGTTGCTACCTCACTAACACACTACTCTATCTCCTGTGCTCACCTGACCCGGGGGAACTCTCCCCACTGAGTTCACCATGTGCCATTCTCCCCCTGGTTCGTTCTGCTTCCTAAATCAGGGGAAAACCATTTTCCTCTGGTGCCAATATCCATATACAGATAATAGTATTTGGTGATACGTTGTGTATTTCCACTAAACTATGGGAGGTTCTAATTATTAGAAGCCATTTATATAGAGCTTGGTTTTAAGTCAATCATTTGACATTCACAGTCTCACTTAATCTAGAAAACTAAGTGATTGGGAGCAGAAAGGAGGATTGAGGAGATTTGAGAAAAGAAGCCACTTCTTTTAAAACTGTTATTTTTCTTTGAAGTTCAAATCCTAGGCACTATTTTCCAGGAAAAAGGTTTCTATTCCAAGTAAATTATTAAATTGACTTGATCTCAGATGAGGAGAAAATGGAGGAGAGGGAAAACCACGGGTAACAGATGTAAATCCTTTCTTACTTTCTCCATTTCGTTCCTGTATGTCTGAGCCCAGTCCTCGATGGTCTTCTTCTCCTGCTGCGTCGTGCTCAGCTCCCTCCTCAGCCGCTCCAACTCCTCCTGCAGCGATGACACCTGTTTGGTTTTGTTCTTGGCCTCCTCATCCACCCCCCGCAGCCGATTGACCTCGCTACGCATTCGCTCGCTCTCTGCTGAGTAGGAGCTCTCCAGACTGTTGAGTCTTTCGTTGACTGAGCGATTTTCCTTGGTCTGGATAGAAGATAAAATACAAAAAATGAATCAATAAAGAAAGAAAAAATATCATGTAAAGTAAAACTGGGGATAAATTTGTCTTGAAAAACTCTCACCTGCTCGTCGATCCTTCTCTGCAGCTGCATGATCTTGTTCTCCATGCCTTTGTTGAGCTTCTTGAAGTGCTCCACTGAGCGAGCCTCGATCTTCAGCTTCTTCAACTCGCGTCTGGCCCTCATCCTGCGGATGCAGCACTGCAGGTAGACGATGGAGTAGAGGCAGCGCTTGTACCAGCACCGAGCCAGCCAGCCACGAACAATTTTCTGAATGACCACCACTTTGTGCTCCCGCAGCAGCTACAGACACACACACAGAAACAGTGAAGGAGAGGCAGGGAGACATTACAGCAGATTCTTTGGGGCTACCTTTCGTAGCGATAAGTGTGATAAGCGTGATAAGTGTCTTACCCCCTGGTACTTCAGCCTGGCCATATAACCTCTGAGGATCGTCTGCATGGCCAGTGCAGCAGCCTGCTTCTGCCGGTAGCGTTTCCTCTCCACGCACATCCTCTGGTACTTCTGGATGGTGGTGGCGGCATTAGTGCGACGCATGAACTTGGCCAGGCTGAGAAGAGCCGAAAATTGCAAGTCATAATCAACACATGAAAACTTCTTAAAATGTTTGCCTTTTTCTAAAATCAGTCAAAGAGGAGTCACATGTCTGTACACTCACCAGCGTGCCTGGTATCCTCTAGTGAACCTCTGGATGGTGATTGCAGCACTGCGCTGGCGCAAGTACTTCTTGCGTGCCAGCCAGCAGCGGATGGTTTTCTGGATGCGGATGCAGGCAACACGCAACTTGTCTGCCCTCAACTTCTCAAGATATGCAACCTGGCCGGCCCTGAAGAAGATCTTGGTCTTACCAAACTGGTATTTATCTTGGTCCTGAGGGAATAAGCAGAGATCAGGGGTTTAGACAGAGGTTCGATGGATTAAAAGAGAAGCAACAACACAACCAATAATAATTCTGAAATTGTATTTAATGAAGAAAGTGAAACCCAGACAGTCTGACCTGCACTAGTTTCTCCAGAACATTTCTGCAGGTCAGTTTTTTATCTGGAAGCACGTCCTTCTGCTTCATCAGCACTCTGTAACGACTGAAGAACTCCTGGTACGTCCATCTGTGACACACACACAAATTAGACTGAGGAAAATAACTTTGCTGGTTGATGTTGTCTAAGGAAAACAGCTACATTTTGTTTATACTGTATATACATAAACATAACGGCAGCTCTGAGAAACTTCAGCAGTGTTCTGGGATGCACAGAGCCAGTACCTAGATGGGAAACCTGCAGCAGAGATGCGGATGGTTTCCAGGACACCACAGGCTCTGAGCTGCTGCACCGCACGTTTAGGATCAAACCTGTCGACAGCAAATAATCAGTCAATATGGCCTCTGTTAACTACAACTGAGATTATGGTGACTCATAATGAGCAGAATGTTTATACAAACAATGTTTGAGGAACTATGTAATTTTAGCAATGTATCACAAATGCAATTGAAATCAATGATGACAGTAATCACATTATGCTTCTACAGTATAACAATTAACCTGCGGATTGTGTCTTTACTTTTTAGATTAAAAGGGATGTAGAATCCTAAAAAAGAGAGGAGACTTACGTGAAGGCCAGTTTGAAGTCATTGGGTTTGATGCAGCGGACGTAATGTGGAGTGGTTGCATTCAAAGTCTCCATCAGCATTTGCAGAGAGTTACGAAACTACAAGAGAGGACCACCACCACCATCATCATCATCATCACAAATAACATCATCAGCATCAATATGAAATCAGGTCTGGATTAGAACTTGATTTACCAAAATAAATTTTGATATAACGTCTATGATCTATTAATACATTGGGGTCCAAAAGTAAACATGGTGACGGATGTAAGAACCCCACTGTCTCTACACTGTGAGCAGACATGTGCACTACACAGCATCAATTTAAATAACAAGACAGTGGAGAGATGATCGACCTGGCAGCCAACAGTCTTCTTGTGCTCCTTGCTGCTCGTCTCCCGACTCTTGTTAGGTTTGATGCTGAGGCGGGTGCGGCCTCCCGTCCCAGGGACCTGACCAGTGGGACTGGTTGCCTTCTCCTCGTCCTGAAACAGCTCCACCAGCAGGTCAAACTGGGAATAGCGGCAAAAAAAGTCAGAAACAGAACAGCTGAGGGCAGCATTATACACTGTAGCCACTATGCATTTAAAATACGCTTCAGGGCAACTACTGCTGATCACACATAACACAAAATCAGATTTCTGACGGCCTTTTTGTTCATTTGGGCTTTTCTTAGTTACTGTGTGGCCCGTACAGACAAAGCAGAGCATATTGATGATTTACTTCAATTTATAAAACTCAACATACACATCTAGTTATAATGTGTTAACACAATATGAGATCATTCGTCAACATTTTCACAATGAAATCAGCTGATGTCACTTGATTAGCGTTGGTTAAACTCATTCACAGACACTTGTTATGTTATAAGAAGCCAATAAAAATGATAAAGGTTATGTTTTCTCATATATGACAGTGTGATGTTGCCATATATGACTGCATGGTTTCATTTCACCATGAAGTTATGACACGAATATTATTATGTAGAATGTATGGCCTTTAGTAAAGCATGTCAGTCATGTTCCATATAACACTGGTTATATGAGGAGGATGCTGTGTTATGTGCAGGTTCAGGTCCTCCCACTGTGCTCCGAGCGCCGTCATGCTGCTTCTCTCCCCACTTTCATTAAGCCGGACAGCCAGAGCCACAAAGGCTTCACGTGCTGCTCTCTCTCAGCATCGCTCTGAAAACATGAAAATTCCCTCCTTCCTTTGTCCGTTTCTTTTATATCCAATCCCCTTTTCTCCTCCCAGAGTGCCTTTAGTGTCACCCATGCAGTAGACAAAGGTCAAAAACACAAACACGCACAACTTAAATCCCCTCAGTGATGTTAGGAGAGATTCAACTCAGTGCCAGAAAAGAGACGAGGAAAAAAAAGGAGCTGAAGGAAGAGCTACAGGCGGCCCAGCGTTATAAGAACGCCTCTGTTTACCTTCTGCTGGCAGGGAAGGGTTGTCATGATGAGGACAGAACCAAACATATATGGACAACATATGGAGACACAGTGACAACACAAACACAATGACAATAAAAGAAAGAGGTTAAAAAAACCAAAAACCAAAAGTTCAAAATCATTACAATCCCCATCACAGGCCAGAATACACAAACTGAAATGGTAGTAAAACCAAGCAACTGATGGGAAGTGCATGATGAGATGATGAGTTTTGATCAGATCCAACTCAAAACACTTTGAGGTGTATTTCCACTGAATTCAAAGCCTTTGATTGAAACATGGCTGCACAAGAGAGGCTGATATTTCTTCTGCTGTGATTTAGTCCAGGTTCCCAGATAATTTTGCATGGTTTGAAATAATAATACTTGTACTAATAATACATTCTACTGTACAATGTGGCGTATTGGTTAGACTGGCAGACGGAGATCTGCATTGATGCGATACTCTTGTGTTCATCTCGCAGATCCAAGTGTATGTGGAGCTATTACACGCTGTCAAAATGGAGGTCAACGGTGGAGAGTATCAGGGTTTTAACCTGGATGCTTCATACAGACAGAGAATGAGTCAGAGTACTGCAGAACTACGGCCTCTGTGGAGAGCTGATGCAGGTCGGTGCTGGGAAATAGAACAGCGTTGCATTCTGACAACACATGATGACATCCGGAAGTAGGTGTGTTACCCTTCAGACCTTTTTCCATTGTGAGATATTATGTTCATCTAATCACAAAAACAACCCAAAAATCATGATTTCCACATGCAAGAGGAAATTACCATTTCATTACAATTGTCCCACTGATCTCCATGGCGACAATCAGAATACAGGTTTGTGTTCCTGTGTGTGTGTGTGTGTGTGTGTGTGTGTGTGTGTGTGTGTGTGTGTGTGTGTTAAGGGGTTGTGTTAGAGGTTAGAGCAGACAGTATCTCAGCCCTTACCCAGCTCTGCTCGTGTTGAAGTCTATAAGAAAACAGACGAAGGTCACTGAGTATTTTGAATGAACACACTTAATGTGTGTGTGTGTGTGTGTGTGTGTGTGTGTGTGTGTGAAGCCAAAACATCACCGATTTAAAAGGATTAGGCCCTTTTTGACCTCTACGGGTTTTTACCAAAGACTAAGACACACACGCACGCTGATGTTGATTCAGATGTGATCCGACATGTATGCACAGAAATGTATAGAGAGACTGGATCCTCTCTAGTCTATCTAAAGTGTATTTAAGTTAAAGTATAGAATATAATGAGCTTTTCACGTCATGTGAAAGAGCATAAGATTAAGTATTGTGTTGTGCTCTATGGTTCATTTTTAGCCCATTGACACAATTTGTGCTTTTGTGTGAGTGTGTTCACTTTTCTCTGATATCTGTAAACATAAACCTCAATGAAAACGAGCACTCATTTTCCCTGCAGAATTCAACACAATCTCCAATTGACCAGTGGAGGGCGCTGCTTCCCTAAGCCTTCAGTCAATAATATTGGGAAATGTTCTGATTTTGCGACCAGGTGCCACAGTTTAAGGCTTCTTGTGAAGCAATGGAAATAATCACTCATCTTTTACAGTACTTGTATTTCTTCTACCTCGTCAGGACCTGCTCTTCACTAATACAATGTAATGTAGAGTAGATGTGTCTGTGCACCTCACCTTGCTGGCCTTCAGCACCTTGATCTGCTCTTCATTCACAGTGTCCTTGTTCTTCTCCAGGAAACCATCGCACTGGTACTCCACCTGCTCGACAACAATGATTTGACCGAGTGCATTAAAAACTTATCTTTACACTAGAATTGCACTCAGTAGAGTGCATACAAGGCCCAACAGTCCCTACACTACATTTAAAGTCACTAGATCTGTAATTTTATTTGGATCTGCCATAAATTGCAAAAATTAAATAACACCCTATTTCACATTTTTCACTTTTTTTCCTGACCCCAGTTTGGTGTGCGATGGTTTTTGTGTAATGCTGCTAACAAACTGAAAGATAAACAAACCTAGATGAAAACATGATCTCCTCGGCAAAGGTAACAATGTTTTCACTGATGTGACAGTTTTCTAGACAAAGACAATGAGGTCTGTAGGGGGAGGTTAGATACAGCTAAACCTCTCGATGCAGGTTTATTTTAATCACAAAGATAAATCATTAAAACCATGTGGTCAGAAACATGCTATGATTAATAACATCATCTATAATGATCACTTATTCATCTCATTATAACAACCAGTCTGACAGAGCTACATTCTTCTCTCCCCTCTTTGTCACCCACCTCTCCTCTCTTCCCCATTTTGCTCCACTCACTCCAACCGGACGAGGTAGATGTCCGCCCACATTGATTCTGGTTCTGGAGGTTTCTTCCACTTATTTATTTCTTATCGCCACAGTTGTCAAAGTGCTGCTCATTGTGGGAACTGTTGGGTTTCTCTGCATTGTTTAAGGTCTCAGCCTTACTATGTAAAGTGCCTTGAGATAATGTATATTATGATTTGGCACTATACAAATAAAATTGAATTGAAGAAATCTTTTCATTGGATCCCATTTTAATATCAGGAGACCTCCTGAGAGAGCCGACAGTAATCCTTGACTGTTTATGAGTATCTTTACAGTGAAGATCTAAAAATAGACATGAGACATAACACGTTGTCAAACCTATATTAGAATATATGAAATCTATTACATTAAACTGAATTATATCAGCATACAGATGAAAAAATGCCCTTCTGTATGAAAACAGTGATGACAGTAAAACCAGTCATCTATCCTGCAGCTATTCCTAAAAATATCTCACACCAGCACTGCAGCAGCCGTTGCAGCCAGTCAGTCCGGAAATATTATCTGTGCAGCTCGAAAGGCAAAATGTAACACAAAGCACTAATCTTTCAAACCCGCACCAGCCAAACCATCACATTCCAAGCTAAATAAAACCAGAATAAAAGTCTAAAATACCAAACGAATGAATGATATGACTCAGTGTCTGACTCAGTATCTAAAACAGGGACCCATGAAAAAACAGGGCTAAGTGGACTGAATACAGGACAAAAGATGGGTTGTGTTTAGCTGACACAATGAAAATAGAGCAATAGATCAGGTTGTAAAGAAAGAGTAGTGCCGCCATGTTATCATTTAATTTGTCTTTTGTTTTTTATCAGTTGTATCACTGTCAGTCTATGATTAACACTTTGCACACATGGATCGAACGCAGCGTTGGTCAGTCCCACCTTGTCAGCGAAATGCTGGATGATGAAGGCGCGGTTGGACATGCGTGGCTTCTCAAACAGGGAGCAGGTTTTCAGATGGGTGTTGTACAGTTTCTGAGCCCAGGTATCGTCTGAACCTCGAGGCATCTGACAAACAAAGAGAGAAAACACAGAGCAATCAAAATGTACATTTTAACAACAATATAGAGTGTTGTCTATGTAGGGTTGTTATATTTCATGACTTCATATGAGTGTTGCTACTATTCTTTTTAACACATTTTTCTTTGCATTTCTTTGCCTGTGAGTGCATTCCACTACAATACTGTCAGAAATGTGGCCCACCTCAAATGTCAACAGTCTATAAAATGACCTTGTGGTGGTTATGAGCCACAGAGAGATTAGTCAAGACTGTTAGTTATTTGAGTGTGTAGATGGAACAGATATGAATCTGCACTTGACACCATGCGCTGACGAGTGTGTGACAACATTAACCTTGATATTTTACACACAGTGAGCTGAAAATAAACTAGACTATGTTATACTTAAATACGATCAATTACTTATTACCAAGTAACAACTAGGTAAAAAATAAGACGACGAAAAAAAAGTAAATTGCAATCAAATAAAAAGCAACTTTGATGTAATAGCAGCAACGCTCTTATATTAATATATATAATTCAGTCGACTATATCAAAAGTACTTTGCACTCCTCGTCCAACAGGTCCAGGATTCCCATCTTGGCTTCTATGAGGTTGATGCAGGGCTGATTGTCGTAGAAGTCGATCAAAGTCCAGGGGATCTGCTCCTTCATGTACTCCTCCTGCTCCAGCTTGAACACGTGCTGTGCACAAACACACGCACACACACACATACCTGCATTTAATAAACAGAATCTAATATTTCACAATAATGTGCAGTCCAACAGAATAAACACACACTGCTCACCATGTTGAATTGTTGCTGGAGTTTCTCATTAGCGTAGTTGATACAGAACTGCTCGAAGCTGTTGATCTCAAATGTCTCAAACCTTGTGAGGAAGAAGAGAAGATGAAACCAGCCGATCAAACCTTTTACGAGGTAACGTCAGGTATTACATCAAATGTATCAATTATTTGGGCAAATTGTCCCTGTTGGCCTTGACATATTTATTAAAATCCTGTTCAATGATTGACTTTATTTGGTGGGACAGACTGTGAAATGTGCAGTGACAGTGAAATTGACCTACTATTGTATTTAACCATAGAGTACATGATAATGTCTTAGTTCATTATTCTTCAGAAACTAATCCCAGACTGACAAAGAGGATACTGACATACCCATAGATGTCGAGGACGCCGATGAAGGAGTGTTGTTTGACATTAGTGATCAGAGCCTTGTTGACGTGCTCTACAATCCAGTTAAAGAGCTTGGCGTAGATATGTTTGGACAGTGCGTCACGGGCGTTGGTGGCCTGCAGACGAGGGAGGGGTTTGATATACGTCTCGGTGGCCGTCTTCAGCTTCCTGTGGCACAGCCACTGAGACATGTCCTGGTAGGTCACGCCCACCAGCTCGCAGAACGCTGTCAGGTGGTTATTGTTGGGCTGAAGAAGAAGAAGAAGAAGATATTTAAGTATTTAACAGGAGAAATTCAGCAAGAGGCAGCTAAGAAAAGGTGGATTATCTCATGCCATGTGTGGAAATCTAAAAAATCAGCATGTAGATGTTTCAACTGAGTGCTGTTTAAGGCAGAACTAGAAGAAATAGACTGGAAATGAAAGCAACACTCCTTGTTGACATGAGTCACAGAGGTCAGCTAAGTCAAATTAACTTTTGTACTAAACTGAACAAAAATGTGACTGTGAGCACGAGAACAGAAAAGGCAAGAGGACAAGTCTTCAAGTAAAGACTCAAACCACGTCCAAAACGAAAATTCAATTTCACCATAGCTGGAAATGTTCATAAATTATTCCAAATATTATACAATTGGTTTACACATGTCAGAGTGACAGTTAGTACTGAATAATAAATGTTATCCTCACAGCAATGAGGCTGCTGTCTGAATCTCTGTCCTTTATTTCTACGTTTCCAAGATGAAGAATCGCAGCCAAAACCTGGAACAAGCCCATCTGATAGGACTCATTGATACCTGCAGACAAACACACAGACAGACACTCAGGTTACACTGACACTTAGAGATGAGGAGGTTGAGGGGATTTAATGTTGACAGATCGCTTCTGAAAATCCTTTAATTTTTTTTTTGTCCTACATTCTAAAATTTTGCCTTGAAGTTATCTGATGGTTTTGTAACCTGTGTTTCTAACAAGAACATGCAAAACTCTGGATAACCACCTTCATCAATAACTTAAACAACCCTGGCCACGTTATGAAGTTAGAGACACTTGAAGGGCAAATGCAAACACACTCTTCACCCAGAGTGATGGCTCCTACATAGAGCTGCACCTACCTCTTACCAACACATTTTAACAAGGACAACAGTCTTTAAGTTTTTCTACATTTCATTGCAATTTCAAATGTAACTGTATTTCTATATATCTTTGTTCAGTATTTATCATTTTGCCTTATTTATTGTGTGTAATGTGTGCATTGGTGTTAACTATTACTGAAAGTCAAACTGCCCCTCAGGGTTGAAAAAAGAGTCTCCCTTTCAACCCTAAAGTTTCTTTCCTGGTGCTTATATGTACGTACATGATTAGACTCTTGGGTTACAAATTCTAGCACATAGAGCAGTGTGATGTGTTTGTTACCGAGCAGCGTGAAGGCATTGCGAGTAGTGCAAAGCTCCTTGGTGTCATCAACACCGTAGATGACGGGGCTGCGGCCCTGCCTTGTGTACAGGAAGTTGTTTGCACTGCCTGAATGGAGAGACAGAGAAAGTAAATACATTTAAGAAATATCACCATCATGTCTGAGATATCAAATTCTCACAGACGAAAGAATTCAGAAAGGAGACAATTTTCATACTGTCTGACACACACACACACACACACACACACACACACACACACACACACACACACACACACACACACACACACACACACAC